GTGTCACCACATCCAATCATGTTCTATTTGGTGACTATGCATCTTGACAATAGCCATGCAGCATAGTTTCCATTACAAAAGGCTCTGTCATAAGGCTGTCATGTCTAAAGCTTACTAATGCTCTATGTATGTCTTTAATGATCCATCTAGTGTATGAGGAATATGATTTTCCAGTACTGATTTCAACAGTTTGATTGTACAGAAATCCACAGGTTCTACATTCAAGTTCAAATTGTTTAATAGAGAAATCAGTAAGTCCTACCAGTACCGTCCACAGTCTAGTTCCGATGCTATAGTTTAATCTCTTTCCATTTTCTTTGTTATAAAAATGCTTAAAACTTAAAGACATGTGCAATTTGAAATAAATCACAAAATTAGGTCAGAAGTAATATAAGCTGATGACTAAGCATCTCAGATAAAAACTTTGATCTTCAATCATTGACTGTTGTATGGAAACATTTGTGTGTAATTTTTGTGATGCCAATGACTAGCTTTGTCAGTTTTCTACCAGACCATTCATACAATAGTGGAGATGTGATAAATTAATATCTTTCTATTTTCCTTTTATATAAAAATACTGAAAACTAATGCACTTGGATCTCACTAAACTGTTGTAATGAGAAAACTGAATAATACCAGGAAGAAAGTCACTAGATGACAGCACTATTACCCAGATAAAAACTGAGAACTGCCCTTGTTCAGTGATTGTTGTATTCCAAACATTTCCTTGTGCTTATTGTGACATCACTAACCTGTTTCGTTAATCTTTTGTGACACATGCAAAGAGGAATATTAACTGGTGTCATGGCAAAAAAATTTAAAAGCCTAGAGAAAAGGCAGTTAACTCTGATAATGTACATATTAGTAGTGCAAACTTTTAATAATATTATGATGAAATGCGCTGAATTAATATACAACCATTATGTCATAAAATAATGAGTTTTTGTTTCACCACTTTACAAACAGCTTGAATAATATAAGTATAAACTTGTTCAACATGACATATGCTTATAATAAGATGATTATAATTTTATTCAGGATTCACAAACCTTTACAATAAGCTTTACCACATATCTCATTTCTTTAAAAAGTTAATATTATTCCTTAAATGCTAGCACAGTGAATCGTAATAAAAACCAATATCCTTTTAGAAATATTTTACAATGTCAATACTATAAAGAAAACATAATTAGCATTTCAAAGAAAAGTTTGATATATTTTTTTTTTACAAAGTATCATCAGTTAGCAACCTTCAATTTCACCTATTTAGCATTTTTTTTATATATCATTAAGCTGGCTTACTTTAAAAAAACATTTTTCACATAGATACATTCATATCATACCTTGAACTACAAAGAATTTTTGAAAAATCTTAAAAGCTATAACCTTATGTTACTTTCATCATTTTTATTGCAATAATTATAGCCCAGTTTGTGAAAACTCATTGTCAAATATCTATAACCTTTTATTTTTTGAAACAAATAAATATTTTATTTTAGTAAAAAATTAGATTGATAATAAACCAATTTCAGAAGTGTTATTTCAAATACTTAATTATAATACTTAAATATTAAGTCTAAATTAAGCTTTCTATTAAGTAAAAATGTTTCACACAGTACTGTAATACATAATACATATATATATTCTAAATCAATCTTATTTTTATATTTCATAACCTGTGCATTAGTGATACACTATTTATTCTTTTTTAGATAAAAATATGAATGGTAAAAATTAAAATATTAGAAATTTGTCCCATAAAATATCAAAAAAAAAAGAAAGTAACCTTGAAAGGGTTTCCATGCTAATAGGGAAATGAATTTGATTGAAAAAATCATTACCTTCATTTATATTCCAGAAACAGAAGTTTAATAATTTGATTAAACTTAGGAGGAGAGACAGGGACTATTTGTTATAGTGTTTATAGTTCGAAAGGTCCTACCTAGATTGAGTTGTGTATACTAGCATGTTATTAGGCCTTCTCAATATGGAAGTAAAGACTGGAGCCCCATGAACAAAAATCAACTTTTTGACCTTCTAAGTAACATTTTTTGAGCATAGAAATTGTTTAATATCAATGTAATAACAAAAGTGCCTGGAACATTATGAGGTCATACACAAATAAATGCAATGTATTATGTGAAACACAGCAATGATTGATTTGTTCTTTAGTAAGCATGGCGATATACACAGATATGTTGTGAAACTAGTTGTTATCCATTGAACCTCACTGTACAATGAAATTGTGTATATCATATTAATTTCATTCTTTTTAAATTAGAGGTCAAATTCATGACTCTCCAAAGATATTGCATGAAGTTAAAGGCTGACCAGCTGATAGAAGTTGGGTACAAAAACTAATGGTTTACATCCAAGCAAGAATAACTTTTGATAGACTACATTTTAAAGGCATTGGGAATATACTATGGCCTGTTACCATGAGAAGTGAAACATTTTGTTTATGAGTTTTGCTCTCCTTCTCAAAGAATAGAAATTTTTCCCCTTAAATGAGCTGAAACTAAGATGGCTGGTGTGGACTGGTTCACACCATTTCTAAAATAACATTCAGCCATGTCAGAGGTACTAGAACATTATTGAATGTATGTAATGTTGAACAAGTATGCATCACACCTGTGCAACACACATCAAGTTGTAGCCATATGGAGTAAAATGAGTTACCACAATGACTTCTTCCAGGAGACAAACACTGACAACTCTTGCATTAGCCGTCAATACAAGTATAAACACAGTACCAACAATTTTTATTTGTCTGAGAGTGAACTCCCAAGATCACTTCATCAACGATGTTTCAACAAGTAGCACCGGGTTAGCTCACCTATCAGGTTGGTTGGCAGAGAAAGGATTTTATGAAATTCATGAAACACCTTGTGAAGGTCACAAAGTGTATAAAAGAAAGCCAGTTATTCTGCTCGATAACTATGAATCTTATGTGTCATTGGACTTAATTGATAACTGCAAAGACAATGGTTTTGTTCGCTTGTCATTTCGTCCTTATTGTTCTTTAAACTTCAGCCCTTAGACCAAAGTGTATATAGTATGTTAAAGAAACTTTTTATTCAATCTGTGATTGATGGATAACTCCAACCCTGGACAAACCATGACTATATATGATGTTCCATGAAATGTGATGGAGCATTACTAAAGGCAGCAACAGTAGTCAACATTCAGAAAGGGTTCTAGGTAATAGGGACATAGTCTTTCAATAGAGGTGTATTCAGAATTTATACCAAGCAATGTCACAAATTAACAGCACATCAGCAAACATATGAAAAACCAGTGCCAGAACCTGTTCTAGCACCAAGCGGTGTCTATACCAATATCTAGCAGTCATCACCAGCAGACCCATAACTACAAGAACTACTCTGGGTATAGGCCTAGTAAAGTCACCAGAAATGCTGAGTTCTTTTAGAAAAGCTAGTCCTGTAAAAAGGTAGCAGAAAAAAATGAAATACTATTATATTAAGTGAAACATCTGAAAAGCAGTGGCTATTGGCAGAAAAATCTGCTTATAGGAAAGTTATGAAGAAAAAGCTTATTTCCCCTGAGGCATGCAAAAGAATTAAAAAAAAAAACATTCAAAGTAACTGCTTTTTTGTGATTGTTTGGTTTTTGGCAACAGTTATGTCAGTTATGCTCCTGAAAAAACATGGGTATAGTCACTGCAGTGTATGAATAGTAGAGAGTGGTCTCATCTTGAGTAATCTGAGGGAAATCTGCCTTATGTGTGCCACCTTTGTAAAGACTATGGACTAAAGTCCTAGTACAATTATGCTGTTTCTTTTTTTTTTCATAATAGTGAAATTTGTCGAAGTTAGAAGTTTGTTTTATAGGATATTTTGCTGATTATTATACCTGTTTGTTCAAATAATTCTTTTGGATGTAACAATGTACTCCACATTTGATCCCATTAATGGATATGTGACAATACTTTTAGTTACTATATGAATTTCAATGATTTTATATTTTGTTTTATAAATAAAAACAGTACTCTACGTAAATACAAAAAAAAAATCAATTTTTTTAAGAAACAATTTAAAAAAAAATTAACTACCAGCCCTGGTCTCCCCTACTTTTATATCACATTACTGGAGTCTTCAGCGTATGTTGACTTATAATGTTTGGGTAACGCATGAAAAGAAACCTCATTTTAACTACCATTTTCTAAAATCTGGGACATTATGAGGATTTCACTAGACCACGAAATCCTCATAATATTAATATAAAAAAACATTATTAATAATTTATGTAACATATGAGCACTTATATAATATTACTAACAAATTATTTTATCCAAAGTTTATGAGACAACTCTAGTATTTAAGTCTTCAAAAGGCATTTTTAACATCTGAGCTATTACTTCTGAGAAGTAAATTTTTTAAATTTGTTTTTAAGTACTTAAAAAAACATCATGGTCCTTTCTCTAATATAGTAGGAGAAATATATATTAAAATCATATATTCTGATTATCTATATACCTATATTGAATTATATGTTCTACTAATAACTTGATTAGTCAGTACAAGTCATCATTATAAATGATAAGTATGTGTAAGAGATATTTGAAATATCGTTTATTAAAAAAGTCAATTTTTTAGTAATAAAATAATATGTTTTTATTTTACCAACTTGAGGAAGTGTAATTAGTCATCTTTTAAACAATTAGTTTTATCTGTTTAGTGTTTAAAAAGTCAAGTAAATTTATCTTAAGACTGGTGAAATCTCTTGTTTTCTCATTGGTGGTTCCACTGTTCAAGAAAAACAAAGTGTTAGTCCTTCATCAGTGTGTAGTTGTCTCAGCAGTTAAGTCTATAGCTGTTGTATAGAAGTTGAGCAACAATTAACACTATAATGGTTCTGCTATTCTTACAACTTCTCACTAGAATATGTTGTGAAACATAACTATAGTTAGGGTATAATGAAGTGGAACACAGCAATCCCAATGGATATTAATTTCTTACAGCAGTAAACACAAGAGAAGGTTTAAGAGGTGCAGACCTACTCCTGTTTTAATAGATATCCATCATTCTTACAATATATTAAAATTAAAAAAAGCACAGACCTGTTCCTTTGCCAACAGGTGGAATGATAAAACTTCCTTTACTGTTGCAATACTTAAACTTGTACTATTAAAGAAAAACAGACTTGTTATTGCGTATGCATGAATAAACTTCAAAAACAACAACAAAGGTTAATACCATACTACATAATGCATAATAAGGTTCTTACCACAGAAATGTGATATATTTAAGTGTATTATCAGCTAATTTATGATATCTATAACAAACACATTATAGGTAAGTTGTGATATATACATAGGAATATTTATCTGCTCTTAGTATAAAAACTTATCATTAAGTAGTTTCTGACTATATGACAACAATTTTAATCATATATAAAGTATGTGTGATGAATATTACTGCACTAAACTCAAAGACTGCATGAAAGCAAGTTCAACTTCACTACTTTTGAATGAACAAGTCTCACTTAAAGGTAAAGTTTTAGCGATGTTTTCATGAAAAGAAAGAAAGAAAAGTCTGAACTAATGGATATAAGTTTAACAGTTATCCTTTTCAAGAGGTATGTTAGCTGGAAAAAACAAAACTAGCTTTAAGTGATCAACTACAGCTGTGTGCTTATTGATCTGTACGTTGCCATGGAAAGAAAGGGTCTGACTTAGAAATACATGTTTGGCAGCCATGTTAATTAAGAAGTATGAAGCAAACTAAAGGAACAGCTTGAGTTGAAGAGGAGAATATGAGAAACCACTTATTCTGAGACTGATGTTGTGAAAAATCATTACTTTATAAATTTTGGCTGTAACTAGTAGCATAACTACAGCCAAGCTGGATTTCTCCTTTCCCAATTGTATAATTGATTACATTATACACATTTTGTTTCTGTCTTTTGGAGATTCATTAATTACCTATTGATTGCTATACTTTTCAAATTATTTTATTAAAACAGCAATTTACGCTAATTTTTAAATCTCAAGCAGCAAGTTTATACCATCTTGAGTTGTATGTAACAAAATACCTTGAAAGTACATAGCTAACAACTACTCTGCCAAGAATAACATGCAGTAATATTGTATGCATTTACATATTACAGTTAGTTGCCACAGTATTTGTAATTCTATCATGTTCTAAAAGAAATGTTCCATGCACATAAACAGATTATGATCATCTCATTCATATGAGAGATTCAAACATTCTACCTCACATGCCTTATAAGAGTTAGGATCTAATCTCACACACACTTCTGATGGTTTTGTTTGTTTATTTGTTGAATTTCATGGAAAGCTACTTCAGGGATATCTGCATTAGCTATCCCTAGTTTTGAGGTGATAGGCTAAAGAGAAAACAACTAGTCAATACAAGCCACTACCAACTCTTGGACTACTATTTAACAAAGAATAATGGGATTGACTTTTATTAGCACCTTTATGATTAAAGGACTAATATGTTTGGTGACAGGTTTCAATTCTGTGACCCACAGATTGTGAGTTAAGCACACTACCACAAAGCCCTGATAGTTTTGTCATTTATGCCTGTATCTCATTAACACAAACTTTTTTTTAAGTACAAAATATACTGTACATTCAGCATACTACACCAATAAAATGCAAAAAGTGGTTTATAAGCAATCATCTTCACCACATAGAGTGTATGTGTTTCATGTTTATTATTCAAAGACCAATTGTCTACTTTCTAAAATACTACTGTTTTCTCTTAGTCTATTCTGTAAAGTGCATGTATTTATTATATTACATTATTCATTTTAAGTGTTGGTGGTTTATCTTTGAGATATGTTTATATCTGTCAAACAGAAGTCATTTAGATACACACACACACACACACATATATATATATATTTAACAGAAGAGAAGCTGAGAAGAGACATAAAAATTTCTTATCACTATTTCTGAACTAAAAAGTATCATTATCATCACATTCTGTTGCCCAATGTCCAAACATTCCACAGCTGTCACAATATGGCCGCTCTTGGACCCTTTTGCCATGATGTTTAATGTGCAAAAGTTTTTCCACTGCTGGGGCTTGCTGTGGGCAATCCTCTGTGTCATGGACGTCAAACATATCGCAGATGTCACAGAAGAGTCGTGGTGGAATGGTTGTTTTGATTCCATTTCTAGTTCATAAAAAATTCAACAAGATAAATGAACTTAGACTTAAAACCATTAATCCAATCAAAATAAAATTACATTCAACAATATTAATGAAATAACCCATTTAATATACTTTAACAGGACCTGTAATATATAAAACCTAGTTCCTGTACAAGCCATTTCTAACAAGTTGTATATATGTCCAAGAATAAACTAAGAAATGAGCTATCTTTAATGTTGCACAAGTTATAAAAATGGAACTATATCATTGTGAAATCTGAAAATGTAAAAGTTGTTAGAATGATTAATGTATAAAATTAGGAAAAACCTGTCTTTCTGTCATTCTTAGATTTAGTGTATTTGGTTAACTTTTAATTTCCTCAACTTAACAGCACATCTATTCAATTTAAATCTGATTGTCAAACTGTTAACAAAGTTTTGTTTTATAAATAATGCACCAGAAAACTGTTAGATATACATGACTGTTCATTTTAAGTTTAATACAAAAGTAGTATTTACTTTATATTGTGTGAGTGTTAAAGTCAATTATTTTTAGAAGTGATAGTTATGACAAGTTTGCTTACATAACTGTTTATGAATCATTTGTTGCATAGTTCAACTGTTGTGAATTGATGCTATGTTACTTAAACCTTCTGAATTTTTCTTGTTCCTCTAAGTGAGTGTTGTTATATCATAACATTTTGTAGTTTCGTAAAAATTTGTAGGCCTCAGTCAGGCAATATATCTATATATATATATAGGTGACCAAGTTAGTGCAATTAAGTAAGTTAGTGAAAGTGAGACAAAGTTAGTGTGAGATATAGTCAAATAGATCTAGACTGTATTTGTAAGTTTTGCCATAAAGAGTGTAGAGTGGTGACTTAAAAAGTGTAATAATTGCAGATTGTATTGTAATAACAGAGTAGAGAAGAATAAATCATCTTGTCAATTGGGTTCCAAAGTAACTGAACTAACCTGTGTGAACTTTTGATGCAAAAGAGAAATATTTGACCTGAGATAGGTCTTCCTATGATCATGGATCAAAGGCTAATGTCATCACTTTTGTAGATTTACATTCAAAACTTTATTGAACTACTATTTTATGAATGTATGTCAAAAATTTTGGTATCAGATTGTGGATTATAATCCAAATTTTAGTATTATACATTAGTTACTTTCTGAATTTAAAAGTAAATATTAAAAAAATCCTAAATATAAATTTTTGTTTGTCACGCTGTATGTTGAATGCAGCACTGATTCAGATTAAATGTTTATGATGTCTGAATACAATGTCTACAGTTTCTTACGAATTAGGAAATTACTGATATTGACAAGCTAAAATATAAAACAATAAGCTCCTTTTCTATTTACTAAGATATTGCTACATTCATTGAATCAAACACAGTGGCCCCACCCAACTCTTTCCATTTTTGGAAATACTTGCTTACATACACCTACTTCTATCTATGACGTGTAAATAACCAATTGAAAGCTCAGGATGTCCCCCACATGGTTCTCTGAGCCTCTGAGAAGTACTTACACAGGAAATCCTTTCTCTTCATGGTAGATTCCAAGTGGTAAAGTAAGACATTATTGAGTTTGAAAAATCATATTTTTTTAGACCCAAATACAGCTTAGTTACTAAGCCTGATAAATTATAGTGGAATTCTGTGGTATTTATATAGTAATTTATTTTTTTTGTTCTTTCAATATGCATATATATATAAAAAAACTAAAAAAAATCATATTGTTTTACATTCTTCATGTGCGAAATTTGATAAGGCTTAGCAAATTATGGCAAGCAGCAAATGAGTAAAAAAGTTCATAACTAGAACAGATAATTGTTTTCTGTACTTCTTTATATACTGTTCTATGTTTTAAGAAAAATAACTGAAATTTAAGAACATATTTGTAAATGGTAATAATATATTTATACATATATATATATAATGTATTTTTACTGAAATGTGATTGTATTTTACAAAATATTGTTTCACTAGAACATAGCCAAGACAGGTCACTTTGTAAAGACTAGTTTTATATTATTGGATATGGTAACATGAGCAGGGGCGGATCTACTATGAAACTAATGAAGCTTAAGCTTCAGGGCCCTTAATCCCAGAGGGGCCCCAGAAACGTCTTTAGTCCACATGCTTAAAAATTTTAGGTCTACTGTAGTGGTGGTACCCACTGTTGATGCTTTAGATACAGGTGATGATCACAGTGGTCAACATGAAAGGACCAGGGAACAAGCAGAGACTGTGCAGAAACATGAAACAGGAAGCAAATTCAGTGATTTCGAAGAATACAGTGACCTTGAAAACTGGCCCATAACAGTTGATAATGATTTCATACAGAATTGTTTTATGCAAGGCATCGGGTTTTTTCAAAATAAAAAACCAGAAGAATTGTTTTATGCAAGGCATCGGGTTTTTTCAAAATAAAAAACCAGATGATGTATATACCGAATCAAGCAAAATTTACAAGGATGAAAACAGAAGTTCTCAAACAAATATTTTGAAAAAAGATTGAAAAATGGCCAGACTGTGATGAGATCCTGGTTAGTTTACTCAAAGAGCAAAGGCTGCATATACTGTTTTGTTTGCAAACTCTTTTCTAAATGCCAAACATCACTTACAACAGATGGATTTTCTGACTGGATGAATGTACTTAGAACTCTGGAGAATCATGAAGACAGCATGGAATGCAAGAGCGCGATGTTGTGTTGGATAACAAGAAAGTCAATAAAAATACTGTGGATCAGCATCTTGAAGAACAGATGAGAAAGACCATACAGTACTATTTTGAAGTGCTGAAAAGAGTTGTAGCTGTTATAAAGTTTTTAAGTGAAAGAGGTTTGGCATTTAGAGGTCATGAGGAGAAGTGGGGCTCACCAAATAATGTAAACTTCATGGGGCCATTGAACTTATTGCAGAGTTCGACCAATTTTTACATGAACATCTCGAGAAATGTAAAAATAAAAAAGTAAATGCTACTTACCTATCCAAAATCATGTATGAAGAATTGATAGAAATCATGTGCAGGATGAAATTGTGAATCAAATCAACAACCTAAACACAGAATACTACTCTATTATTGTTGACTCTATGCCTGACCTAACACATATTGACCAACTGGTAATTGTGATTCGATACTGCTATAATGGAAAATCCTGTGAGAGATTTTTTAACATTTTTACTGATAGAAAACTATTCATCCACGACCTTGTTCAACAAAATACAACAATTCCTGGGTAAACATAAGCTTTCACTTGAAAATATCTGTGGTCAGTCATACGATAATGCATCTAACATGAAGGGCTCAGAGAAAGGGCTGCAAGCTCTCTTTAAAAACATTAACAGGTACACAGATTATGTACCATGAGCAGCCCATTCACTTAACCTTGTTGGAGAAAAGGCAATGTCTACTGTACCTGAAGTTGTTGACTATTTTGGCATTTTGCAGCAGCTGTATGTTTTCTTTTCTGGATCTCCACGAAGATGGGGGATTTTAAAGACATAGGGCAATCTAGATTTTTCTCTAAAGAGCTTAAGTGTAACTAGATGGTCTGCACACTATGAAGCAGTCAAGGCAATTAAAAATGGATATATGGGTATTGTACAAACTCTCAAGCATATTTTTGAAGACTCAGAAGAGACGCCTGAATGTAAACAAGATGCAAAAAATTTATACCACAAGTTGGTACAGCTGGAATATGCTATTTTAACAATCGTTTGGGAAGAAGTGCTGGAAAAAATTCAGCCAATAGGATTGCACACTATGAATCAGAAGCAAAAGGTTTATATGAAGATATCACCTCAAGTTATTCTGATGCTTCCAAATGCATTGTAACAAAAAAAAATTCAGATGGTACAAGTGGTATTGCTTCTTTGAGAGGGGCTGACAAACTTAGGATACAGGTTCTAAATCAACTTTATGACTGCTTGATAATCCAGTTATGCAAGAGGATTGACCCATATGAGCAGATTGTGAAAAGGTTCAAATTCCTCTCAGAATTGGTGAACAATTCTGAAATTGATGAGGACAGTATTAAACTTAAAATATCATATTACAAAGATGATATTGACCACAAGTTAGTAAACGAGTGTTATCAGTTCAAAGAATATTTGCACCATAGGAAATCCCAGAACACAGAAGAAAGCATGCCATTTAAAATGCAATGCACAGAAGTTCTTCAGCTTATTTGTGAGCAACGCCTAACTGAAGTGTTCCCCAATATTACTACTGCTCTTAAGCTGTATTTGACAGTGCCTATCAAGAGCTGTGAATCAGAAAGGAATTTTTCAAAGCTATCCTTTATAAAGAACAAATTTCAGTAACTTCTAAATGTATCCATCAAATCAGTAGCACTTAGTAACCTCTACATGTAACCATGGAATCAGTAGTACTTGGTAACTTCTGCATGTAGCCAGGGAATCAGTAGTACTTGGTAACCTCTGCATGTAGCCATCGAATCAGTAGTACTTCGTAACCTCTACATGTAACCATGGAATCAGTAGTACTTGGTAACCTCTCCATGTTGCTATGGGATCAGTAGCACTCAGTAACCTCTACATGTAGCCATGGAATTAGTAGTACTTAGTAACCTCTACATGTAACCATGGAATCAGTAGTACTTGGTAACCTCTGCATGTAGCCATTGAATCAGTAGTACTTCGTAACCTCTACATGTAACCATGGAATCAGTAGTACTTGGTAACCTCTCCATGTTGCCATGGAATCAGTAGCACTCAGTAACCTCTACATGTAGCCATGAAATTTGTAGTACTTAGTAACCTCTACATGTCATATGAAAGCTAGAAAACACAAAAAAAAAGTGTATTTTGTAAAATGTGCTCCATGTAGTATGTATTCTCATAGGTGTCTAATATAAAAGATTATATTGACTGTGGTCTTTTCTGTTTTATTTCATCATTCTATGATGCATCATGCATGTATATAACATTTCCCTAATTTTCACCCTCCATAACTCAAAAACTATAAGGCATAGGAAATTTTTATT